ATGTGCGAACTTAACCACTGAGCCACCGGGCCGGCCCCTGGTCCACCCTGGTTTGGTCTCTGCGTGTTCGCAGGTGGCGAGGGCACCGCCGCCCAGAACTTCTCCTGCTTCATCTACAACGTGCACTTCATGAACTGCACTTGGGCCCCGGGCCGCGCGGCCCCCGACGACGTCCAGTATTTCCTGTATATACGAGACTCCAAGTAAGCGTGGACGGGCCGTGTAGACGACCGTGGGGGACACGCGAGGACGGAAAACCGCGTCCTGAGGGTTGTCTGAACTCTTTGGGGTCTTGCAGGAAGCGGGAGAGGGAATGTCCCCGTTACGTGAGCGACTCGGGGACCCACGTGGGCTGCCACCTCGACGACCTCTCGGGATTGACCTCTTACAATTACTTCCTGGTGAACGGGACCAGCCAAACGACGGGGATCCAGTTCTTCGATTCCGTTTTGCGGTCCAAGCAAATAGGTGAGAACGAGGACCCGAGGTTTCAGCACTGAGTCATTCGTCAAACGGAGTTTGCGTGAAATCCGTGCAAGGGTCCTGGGGCCACTCTCACCGATGGTCAAAAACTGACTGCGTGACAGTGGGGAGCCCAGAGTCTGGGGTCAAAAGGTCGAGGGAGGGGCTGGTTGTCGGGGAACCGGCTCTGGGATCGGGGGGGGGGGTTGGGTCTCTGGGTTTCACCTCTGACCTCGGGGAGGGGGACAGGGTGGAGACTGAGTTCAGTCCCCAGAGGCCCAGGATTTCCTGGATCCTGACTCGGTCACGGAGCCTCCGGAAAACCCCAAGGACGGGGGTCGGGCAGATGTGAGTTCCAAACGCTCTGTGGCCGTGAGAGCGATGGCACCGGGCCCAGTTGTGTAGACGGGAACCGGCTGTGTAGACATGGCTGAGAATGCCTTGGGGCCCGGTGGCTCAGTGGTTAAGTGTGCACGTTCTGCTTTGGCTCAGGGCCAGTCTTCCTCAGCAAAAAAAAAAAAAAAAAAAAAAAAACCGAGGAGGATTGGCAGCAGATGTGCACTCAGGGCCAATCTTCCACAGCAAAAAAAAAAAAAAATCAGCCTAAAGTTCACGGGGCGCGGGGCTGTCTTTGCAGAGAGGTACAGCCCGCCCGCCAACATCAGCGTGCAGTGTAAACCCTCGAGCTGCCTCATCCGCTGGGAGAGGCCCAGCGCACACTTCCGCCTGGACGACCGCGACTTCCAGTACGAGCTGGTCATCCAGAGACAGGTGTGTAGACGCCACCCGCCCGCGGGGAGTGAGGGGGGCCCGGGGCCCGGGAGGCGGGCTCGGAAGAGGCGACGCCGTGTGGACGAAGGCGGGTGCGGGAGGTGTAGACAGCGTCCTCGGCCAGAGTAAGGAGGCCAACGACCCAGCCGGGCTGTGAAAGCCTGCGGGAGGGTGTAGACAGCTGGACGCAGCTGCGGAAGAAGGAGGAGCGTGTATGATACGGCCTCCTGGGCGCAGTGTAGACAAGATGGATCCTTTGCTCCATGTCCTCCTGGACCCAGTGTAGACAAGGGAGAGGCCTCACTTCATGTCCATCTGGACCCAGTGTAGACACTCCCTCCTGTGGCCAGGTTCCGATCCTGTCTACACGGTCGGCTCCAGGGTGAGTGTGGCCAGGAGGAGCCCGGTCTTCACTGCCCGGGGCTGTATTTCCCTCGACAGGCAGTGTGGACGAAACTCGGGAGAAACCCCCCCCAATCGGGAAAAGTCAACCTTCTCTCTCTTTTTTTTTTTTTTCTCTCAGAGCCGCACCCAACCCCCTGAATACCCGATGGTGAGTTAGAACTCTGACCCCGAGTGTCCGCCCGGAGCTGGAGCCGGTGTTAGTCAAACGGGCACGCGCACCACGGGGTGGGGAAGGCGCTGAAAACCGGGGCTGGGGGCGCTCTCGGGTTTTGTGCAGTCAACAACGTGGGCGCACGTCCATGGTCTACACTGCTGGGGCCCGACCTTGATCCACTTGTCACGTCCCACTGGGTGAAATTTGTCCCGTTCCTCGTACCCCGTGGACCCGCCCGTCCTCTTCCTCTTGCGTCCGTGTCGGCCCCCAAAATACCCCTTTGAGTATCGAGATTATTTCGTCCTTCAAGGCCCCTCGGGTTTCCAGACGGGACCCCCATTCGGCGCCACGAGCATGACTGGGGGGAAAGTGGATTTGGATCCTTCTTCCGTGTCCGTCGTGCCATTTATTATTTTTTTAAACCCACCCCCAATTCCGTGTTTTCTGAACCCAGAGGATCGAGGTGCCGGGCGACTCGCAGAATCAATACATTTTCCCGAGTCTGGAGCCCAGACCGAAGCACACGGTGAAGATCAGGACGGGGGACGCCCGGGACGCCCAGGACCCGCGCTGGGGCGCCTGGAGCCGGCCCGTCGAGTTCGGTAGGAATTCTCCTTTTTTTTTTTTTTTTTTTGGCTGAGGAAGATTGGCCCTGAGCTCACATCTGCTGCCAATTCTCTTTTTTTTTTTTTTTTTTTTTGCTGAGGAAGATTGGCCCTGAGCTCACATCTGCTGCCAATTCTCCTTTTTTTTTTTTTTTTTTTTTGCTGAGGAAGATTGGCCCTGAGCTCACATCTGACGCCAATTCTCCTTTTTCTTTTTCTTTTTTTTTGCTGAGGAAGATTGGCCCTGAGCTCACATCTGCTGCCAATCTTCCTGTTTTTTGCTGAGGAAGATGACATCCAAACGGGGTCTGTTTCCTCCTAACGAGGAGGGGAGCAATTCCAGGCACGAAACTGCCCGGGAGCATTTCAAGGTTTTTAGGGAGCGCTGCTGGGCGGTGTTTTTTCCCTGCTCCGAGATCAATGAGTTTCGTAACGGCTGGTGTGGGATTTATAGGAAACCCACGGCGAGCACTGTTTCGTGAGCTGAAACAGGGACAGGGTGTGATCGATTGGCCGTCTTGCCTTCGGCGCTGGCTTTTTTTCGGCCAGGACGCCAAAAGCGGGAATAAGCCGAGAAAAAAGACATAATCTGGACTTGATCGGAATCCACAGACCCGCGCAAGACAGTGGAAAATCGACCCGCAGAGCAGGAGGAAATGTTTGCAGGTCGGGTGTCGGATCAGGGTCGAGTAGCCAAAATATGTAAAGTGCTCTGAGAAGTCAATAGCAAGAGTAGGAACAACGCAATTTAGAAGTGGATTTTAAAAAAATGAACAGACAGGGGATGGCCCCGTGGCAGAGTAGTTAAAGATCGGGACAGATGTTAGCTCAGGGCTAGTCTTCCTCAGCAAAAAAAAAAAAGAAGAAGAAGAAGAAAGAAGATTGAGAAAAGATGTTAGCTCAGGGCTAATCTTCCTCAGCAAAAAAAATTTAAAAATTAAAAAAGAAGAGGAAGAGGGCAATAGATGTTAGCTCAGGGCTAGTCTTCGTCAGGAAAAAAAAAAAGGGAGAAAGATTGACAAAAGATGTTAGCTTAGGGCTAATCTTCTTCAGCAAAAAATAAAATGAAATAAAATAAAGAGGAAGATGGGCACAGATGTTAGCTCAGGGCTAGTCTTCCTCAGCAAAAAAAAAAAAAAAAAAAGGAGGAAGATTGACAAAAGTTGTTAGCTTAGGGCTCATCTTCCTCAGGAAAAAATAAAATAAAGAGGAAGATGGCAATAGATGTTAGCTTGGGGCCAATCTTCCTCAGCAAAAGAAAAAAATTTAAAAAAAGAGGAAAATGGCAACAGACGTCAGCTCAGGGCTAGTCTTCCTCAGCAAAAAAATAAAAATAAAAAAAGCAGGAAGGTTGGCTCGTTATCTGTTTGTATTGAAAAACAATCTGCCAACAACGGCCGACACCCGATTTGGTGACTGACCATCGTGATAAAATTGGGGGTTTTTTTTCATTGGACTTTTGAGCAGAAACTGATAAAAAAAAAAAAAACCACGATATTCTAAATTTCTACATTATCAATTATTATAGAAAAATCACAGGTCAATTGTACAAAGTGCTGATGTGCGATGATAAGTGAACCCCGGCGGTCCGGGATCCACTCACGGGCCCCCCCCCCCGCGTGTCCCCCTGTGTCCCCAGGCTCCGAGGACCCGGATGCGGGGGTCGTGCACGTGTACGTGCTCATCGTGCTGGGGACCCTGGGCTGCGCGCTGGCGCTCGGCTGCCTGGTGAAGAGGTAAGGTGGCGCGGGGTCGCAGGCCCCAGTGCGCAGGGGCGGGGTACACGGGGGTGCTCACTCCCCATGAGGCCCCTTGTGGGGCCACCCTAGACGCTGCCAGCTCCCCGAGCCCGTGTGGACCCGTCTTCCTTCCCAGACGTCCGTCGCGTGCCCAGCTCGGCACGAGCAAAGGCCCTGGGGCCGCCGCACATGCGCGCGCACCTTTGTAGGATAATGAATGCTCGGTTCCCCACGCGCATGCGCGGCACACTCTGGCGTTCCCTGCGCACTCTTCCTGTCCCCGCAGGTTCCTCCGGAGACACAGTCTGTTCCAGCCGGTCCCGCGCATCAAAGACAAACTGAACGATAACCATCCGACCGACCTCCAGGTGCGTCCAGGGGTGTGCGGGGTCAGCCGGGATGGACACACGGGGGGGCACAGCGGCCCTGGGAGGGTCCCGTGAGGCCCCCGTGGGTCACCCATCACGTCCGTCTCCCCTGCCCCTTCGCTTCCGAGCTCCATCCTGCCCCAGGACCTTTGCACCTGCTGTGCCGTATGCCCTGCAGGGACCACAGGCGCTTCCCACAGGCCATCCTGCCCATCCTGCGGGTCAAGGTCGCCCGTGTAGACATGTCCCTGATCCGTCTCTACACCCCCCCCCGACCCCGGCCAGCCGTCCCCCCGGGTCCGACACCCTGTCCTCCTTCCCTCAGGACGTCTGGGAGGAATTCCCGGCGGGGGCCGGAAAAGCCGAGCACGAAGAGGTGGTGACCGTCCAGGAGGTCGACAGAGCCCCGGTCAGCGGGTGAAAGGTCACGGGCACCTCCGGCCCCCAGACACCCCGGAAGCCGCCCGGGTTTTCTCAAAACCGTTTTAAGCGTTTCTGCAGCTATTTTTCTACTTTTTATTAAAAAAATAAATGTGAAGTTTGGCCAAGAGGCTTCCCGATGGGGGGCCGGAAAAAAGGCCCAAAGCTTAGAGATTTGACCCCAATCTATGAGGTCAGGGCTGCGGACCCTCCCGCTCCCCGCTCTTCGAGGGACCCTGGTGGTGGCATTGGGGTCACCCGCGTCTCCAGCCTCGCACCCCGTGGATCTGTGTAAAGCGTCTCCCTGAGGTCTGGCAGTCACTCAACAAACGCTCAAGCCCGAGGAGGGGAGGCCAGGGACTGGACAGGCCGAAAGGCGCGTCCCCTCTCCTTGGAAGCTGTGCCCTTTGGTGGCCCCGACGTGGGGAAAAACATCCTACACACAGGAAAAAAAAAAAAAAATCTGGAAATAACTCCAACGGCAAACCGCGGGCCCCGGGCCATCTCGAGGACGTTGCGAAATTGAGGCGTTTTCTTTTTAGGGTTCCCGCTTTCGCTTCCCCTTTCCACCTCCCGGGCCTCTCCCTCCCCTCTGACCCTTGACCTCTGTTCAATGCGGACGTCCCGTCTTCACCTGGGCGGATCTGCTATCAGTCATTCACACTCTAGTAGGAATTGGTTGCCTTCTCTTCTTAACGGTGAGCGTCCACGGTCTGGTTTCCCGCTCAAGGCGTTTAAACGCGGAGGGAGGGGGCGCTGGGGGTGATTTTTTCGGGGGGTTCGGTGGACGTTTTTTGGTGCCCCGGAAATAACCCCACGAAAAAGAAATTTCGGGAAATGACACCTCCTGGTCTGTCCCCGTCCAACGGGGCCTCCAACACGAGTCATTTTCACCGAAATCACAGGAATTTGTTCCCGATGAGGAGGCTTGCGCCGTGTGCACAGGGGCGCTGGGACCACCCGGGTGGCAGGGGCCTTAAAACAGGAATGACCCTTGCCCTCGTCCTGGGTGCCCCCCCCCCCAGCGGGTTCCGGGGGGCTCTGGGGTCAGAGGGCGTGGGATGGTGTGTCCCCCAGGGGAGTCCAGGGCAAAGGTCGTGACCCGCATCCCCCGGGGTCAGATGGACGGAGGCGCGTCCTCTGGTTTTGGCCGCAAAAGCGGGCGGACCGCGTGTCCGAACCCCCACATCCGGGGTCTTGGGGGCCCGGGGAGCGGACGGCGTCCACACTGCGTTCGCACTACCACCACCCTGCACGGGGCGGCTTCTCCCAGCTGCGTCCGTGGGACCATGCGGGGGTCACGTGGGTCCCCCCAAAGCCCCGTCCCCTGGGGTGTCCGGGGACCCCAGACCGGGGGGCGGCTGGGCCCCTTTTGGGAGCAGGTCCGGCCGCCTCCTCCAGGAAGCCCTCCTCTCCATCCTTGATTCAGGGCCGCCTCCTCCAGGACCTCCTCTCCATCCTTGATTCAGGGCCGCCTCCTCCAGGAAGCCCTCCTCTCCATCCTTGATTCAGGGCCGCCTCCTCCAGGAAGCCCTCCTCTCCATCCTTGATTCAGGGCCGCCTCCTCCAGGAAGCCCTCCTCTCCATCCTTGATTCAGGGCCGCCTCCTCCAGGAAGCCCTCCTCTCCATCCTTGATTCAGGGCCGCCTCCTCCAGGAAGCCCTCCTCTCCATCCTTGATTCAGGGCCGCCTCCTCCAGGAAGCCCTCCTCTCCATCCTTGATTCAGGGCCGCCTCCTCCAGGAAGCCCTCCTCTCCATCCTTGATTCAGGGCCGCCTCCTCCAGGAAGCCTTCCTCTCCATCCTCCCCTTCATCGCAGCTGCAAACACCCCGTCTGCAAATAACACGCCGATCTGAGGTCCTGGGGTGACGAGGTGGACCTGACCTTTGGGGGGGACGGGGTTACACCCCAAACAGCCCCCTTAGGACGAGTCCCTGTCCCCTCACACCCTGCGGGAGCCCCTACCCCCCAGCCGAGCCCCATTCTGCCTCCAGACTCCACCTGCTCCCCCGCCACCCCCATTCCATCCACTTCCTCCCGGAGTCAGTCAACAAACATCTCTTCCACCCTAAGTCAGTCAACAAACGTTCCTTCCTGAAAAAAAAAAAAAAACCGGCCAACAGACGTTTTAGGCTCCGAGTCCACCCGTGTCCACGCCTCCATCGCCCCTCCCTCGGCCCGGTGACGTCACCCCCCGCCTCGCTGGGCGTCCTGGTCCCGCAGGCGCGCCGTGTCTGGTCTTTCCTATAAAGGGACCCACATGTCGGGAGATCTTTAGGGTCCGGGTTGTTTGTAGCCGGGTGCCTGTGACCTTCGACCCCGTCCTGCTGTGGGTGGGCAGCTCGGGGGTTTTGCGGGTCAGCCGCGTGCAGTGCGCGGATCTACCCGTTTCCGTGTCCGTTTCCCACGTGCACGGGGCGTTTGGGGGAGTTTCCCGGCCCGGGCGATGTTCACAAAGTGGCTATGCGACATTGAGGTCCGGGTGTAGACGCCGTGACCCTCCGTGGGATGGTCTCAGCGGTTGGGGGGGGGCCTATTTGGGACCCACAAACGCGACTGAGACTTAAGGGGTCTCCCCATCTCTGCCCACAAATTTTTATTTTTTTTCCTAACCCCCCGCCCGCCCCGGGTTTTTTTTAAACCATTGAACGCCTCCAGCACCCCGTGAATTTCCGGGTGCCTCTGTGGAGTCCCCAGGTTCACCCATCCCCAGACAACCTGATCAATTTTTTTTCCCCCCCCCCGAGGAAGATTGGCCCTGAGCCAACATCTGCTGCCAATTCTGGTTGTTTTTTTTTTTTTTTTTTTGCTGAGGAAGACTGGCCCTGAACTAACATCCGTGCCCATCTTCCTCTACTTTATATGTGGGATGTCTACACAGCATGGCGTGCCAAGCGGTGCCACGTCCACACCCGGAATCTCAACCGGCGAACCCCAGGCCGCTGAAGCAGAACATGCGCACTTAACCGCTGCGCCCCCGGGCCGGCCCGTCCTCATCACTTTTTAAAGCATCAGCTAATTTATCAAAAATCGTATGTTCCACATTCATATTTGCCAAGGGAAAAAAAAAAAAAAAAAAAAAAACCTCTTTTTTTTTTTTTTGCACGTTTGTGAGTTATTTTGTGTCCGTGTGTACGACGCCCGGGACATGTCTGGCCCCGTTCGGACGGGGGTTTTTTTTGGACTCGGTTCTCGGGGTTTTTCCAGATGCTTTTGTCAGTTTTGACGGCACGAGTCTCACCTGCGCGGAAACGATGCGAAATCACACGGGAGACGCGGCCCCTCCACGGGGCTTCCCACGCTCAACAACACGGAGTTCAAACAATTAGTAGATATTAGAAGGATGACAGCAAAGCTGAAGAATTAATAGTCACAGAATTATTATAGCAATTCTGAATAATTAATACTCTAGAATCATTGTAACAATTTTAAATAATTGATAGTTAGGATGATTATAAAATTTTAAATAATTAACAGTTATTAGAATGATTATAAAATTTTAAATAATAGTCATTAGAATGATTATAACAATTTTAAATAATTAATAGTTATGAGAATGATTATAAAATTTTAAATAATAGTCATTAGAATGATTATAACAATTTTAAATAATAGTCATTAGAATAATTATAAAATTTTAAATAATTAATAGTCATTAGAATGATTATAAAATTTTAAATAATTAATAGTTATTAGAATGATTATAAAATTTTAAATAATTAATAGTTAGAATGATTATAAAATTTTAAATAATTAATAGTTATTAGAATGATTATAAAATTTTAAATAATTAATCATGATTAGAGTCGTTATAACAATTTTAAATAAGTTATAGAATCATCATAGCAATTTTAAATAATTAATAGCTATTGGAAGCATTGTAACAATTTTAAATAATTAATAATTATTAGAATGCTTATAACAATTTTAAAGAATTAATAGTTATTAGAACTGTTATAACAATTTTAAATACAATTATTACAATCAATAATTTTAATGACTAATAATTATAATTATTACAATAATATAAAATAAATAAAAATTGTTAAGGGTCATTACAATAACGTAAATAAATAATAATTATTTGGATTATAATAAATTTAAATAGTTAAGAAATATTAGAATCATTATCCTGATTTTAAATAATTAATAACTGTAGGAATCATTTTAAGAATATTAAATAACTATTATTGAAATCATTATAATAACTTTAAATAATTAATTGTTAGGATCATAACAATTTTAAATATTAATAATTGCAATCAATAATTTTAATAACAAATAACTATTAGAATAGTTATAAAGTGTTTAATAAATAATAGCTATTAAGAATCATAATTTTAAATAATTAATGATTATAATTATAATAATTTTAAATGATTAAATTGTTATACTAATTTTAAATCGTTAATAATTAGACTCATTGTAATAAGTTTAAATTATTAATAATTATAGGAATCACCATTAAAGTGTTCAATAATCATTATTGGAAGCATCAGAATAATTTTAAATACTTAAAAATTGTTAGAATAGTATATTAATTTTCAATAATTTATGCGTTGGAATCACAATGCTGACCTTAAATGATTAATACGTATTAGAATCATCATATGAATTTTAGATAATTAATAACGATTAGAACCGTTATACTAATTTTTAAACAATTCATAGCGATTGGAGTCATTCCTCTAATTTTCAATAAATAATACTTCTTGGGGCCATTGTTCTAATTTCAGACGATTAATAGCTGTTGGCGTCATGGCTCTGATGGTCAATAGGTAATAACCAGGAGAAGCATTGAGCGAGTTTTAACCCGGGGATTCTGCGCGCCGGGTGGGCCGCCCCTAAGCAGCATCCGAACGCTCACAGTTCTGCGTTTTCTGCGGGTCGTTGTTCCCCAAAGTGAGTTTTTGGGGAGCTTGACGGGCGGCCGGGCTCGGGGTCTTCACGAGCCAACTCGGTTTTGGCGACGCGGATCGTCCACACGGCCCCACATCCCCGCCCTTCTTGTCGGGTCCGAGACACGAGCGGGTTTTTCCTAAGGGGCCCCCGTGTCCTCGTCTCCACCGCCGCCCTCCGCCCCTCCCGACTGGCTCCAAACGGCCACCGTCTCTGGTTTGGACAACGAGGAGCGGGGGCGGGTTTCAACTCTGCTTTCCCCTCCTCCCTGCAATCCTGGCAGCCGGGGGGGCACCAGGAGGAGGTGACACTACATTGGGGGACCCCCCCCGCACCCCCGACCCCAGGATTCCAGGGTTCCACTCATCTCAAGAAGTGGGTTGGTCCCCGTGCAGCCACCTCCCTGGGCATCCGGGTCTCTGTGGTCTACACCCGCAGGATAGAATCGTCGAGGAGCGCAAAGACGGAGCCAGCCAAGCGTGTTTCCTGGAACGAGGTGCTGACGGCGCCCTTTCTGGGGACCCCGGGAAGGGGGGTCCCCACCCCAGGAGCACAGAAAGGGGGTCGGGTCTGAGTCGCGGTCCGGAAAGTTCCGGAACGTGCACAGCGGACCCAGACCCTGGGCGCCCCGAGTGTTCCCCGAGGGGCCGGGAGACTCTCCTGCAGAAAGCGGAACCCCGACGTGTTGATAAGAACCTGTGGGCGGGGGGCGGGCTCCGTGGTGTAGACGGATGGCTGGCCGGGTTCGGACACTTCCTGTCTGTAGAGACGATAAGGGCGGAAAGGAAGAGTCAGGTGATAGGAGGCGGGGCGCGTCGGGAGAGGCTGACCCGGAGCCATTCGTGAAGGGACACAGCGAGAGGAGAGCGTCCACACTGCAGGCGGCGCCGACAGCCTTATCAGGGCCTTGATTCCGAAGGCCGGCCACCTCCACCACGGGGCCACCACCGGGGACCCCTCAGCACCAGCCGGGCAGGAGGACGGGTCTGGACGGGTCCAAGCGACATGCAGGAAGCTGGCCGACCGGTGGGTTGACTCCTTTCTCCATCTCGGGGGCTGTTAGTTTGCAGGACCCCGGGACGGCACAGGATTGTAGATGTGGCACCCGAGTGGAGCCTCTGTCCTGGGAAGGCGGGTGGGTGGGTGGCTGTGGGAGTTCCCGAGTGCGTAAGATGGATGACCCCCCAGTCCGGGCTGGGATGCGGGAACCGATGGGCGGGTCAGCGAGGGGCCCCAGGAACAGTGTGGGGAAGGACAGGACGGGCGCCAATGCTTTCGAGCTCAAGGCCGCGGACAACCAGCGGGAGCCGGTTGCCTGTCGCCCTCGGCCTGAAAGTCGAGCCTGGGAATCTCCCCTCCCGCGACGGAAACGTTCGTGCACCACGGAGCCGCCCCCAGAGACAACTCGTGTCTCCGTCCGAGAGCCTCTTATCTGCACGACAAGGAAACGCCGTCAGCCGCACGTTTCCTCCCTTCTGCTTCCCATGACTGTCCTTCCGTCACCAAAAAGCCCCAAACCCCTGTTCTTCGTGGAGCCTAAGACGGTGCCCGAGCCTCTGTCGTCTACGTGCCGCCTCGACCCACCTTTTTCTCTGTGAACCCAGGCGGGTGTGGACGGAACTAAAGCTAGTTTTCCCGCGAACGGCACTTTTATCGGTTTAATTTGCAGGTCCCAGGGACAGAATCTAAGAGGGTAGAGGGAAAAGATTTTTTTTTTCTTCCGTTGCTTACAACGTCTGCCCTCTGACCCTCACTGTCCCCGGCCTCCTCCCTCGGGCCGGCCTATCCAGGAGGGTGTCTCGCTCGCTTCGCCGGTTCCCCCAGATCAGGCCGTATCGTCGTCTCTCATCACGTGAGGTTGGCGACTGTGTCAAAAAAAAGGAGAGAAACGGTCCCATCCCGGGCTGGGTGCCCCTCGGCCTCGCTCCCAGTGACCTCTGTGCACCCAGCAAGGTCGTCCCCGTGCCGACCCGTGGGGTTGCGAAGCCGTTAGAAGAAACTGTGCTCAAATGAACCCAACGCCACCCATTTCTGGCCAAGATGGAGACTCCGGCGGAACATTCCACACCCAAGATGGCTTCAGGGCCACACTCGCCACCCGGATGGACGCGGAGGCGGGTGACCCCCCTGCGCCGTCGCTCTTCCCCCGAATGATGCCGGGCATGTCCCCACCCGCGGGGACCGTTGTGAGCGGGTGGAGACGGTGCGGCGGGAAGAGTTGCCTCATGTCCCAAAGCGGCTGCTGTGGGCCGGCGTCTTCATCACGCGTCCCTTATTCTTTTCTCGGGGCTTCGCAGGGCGTTTCGAGCAGGATGTCAAAGGGTATCTGGGGTCACCCGGTGACCCCACGAGTGGGAGCAGGACGGGGGCCTCCCAGGGGACCCGCAGACCCAATGGGGCCGCATGGAACCCCCGCCGACCCTTCACCTTTTGAGGGCGTTGACCCCCCTGGGAAGGGTGGGGAGCCGAGAAGCGAGGGCTTCTGGGGTGGCTGCGATGTGACCTCTGACCTGGGGTGTCCCCGTTCCCGTTTAGGTCCAGCTGTGGGGCTGGGGCGCCGCGGCCCCACTGGATCCCGTCGGCCTCCTGGTGCTGCTGAGCTGGGCGAGCTGCGGGCACCCAGCGCGGGGTAAGTTGAGGCACCAAACCCGAGTGGGGTGTCTGCCCCGGGTGGGCCCCCCCCAAAGCGTTTTCCTAAAATTCAGATTATGGGGTCACGGGGGCGCCTCCCCGTGCCTTTGATGGGCGCATCCCTGAGGACCAAGATGCTGAGCGTCTTCAGCGGGTGGATCCCGACTCTGGGGAAGTAGGTTTTTAAATTTTTTGTTGTTGTTGAGGAAGATTGGCCCTGAGTGAACTACTACCTCTCTTCCTTTTTTTTTTTTTTTTTTTTTTTGCTGAGGAAGACTGGCCCTGAGCTCACATCTGTGTCCATCTTCCTCTAATTTATATGTGGGGCGGGCCAAGCGGTGCCATGTCCACACCCGGGATCCGAACCCAAGAACCCGGGACCACCGAAAAGTGGATTGTGCGAACTTAACCGCTACGCCACCGGGCGGGCCCGATTTTTTTTTTTTTTTTTAATTGCAGCACAGGAGAGCGTGTCCCCCATTCTGAACATGAAGCTGGATTCGAGGACGAAAACGCTGAGCTGGAATTACAGGCGGAACGTGACTGAGCAGGAGTGCAAAATCGACACGCCGCCCGACGACTCGACCTCCAAGACCCCGCAGGTGAGGGGTCAGGGGTCGGGCCTCGCGGCCTTGCTCCCCGAGAAGCGCGGGTGTCCCTGTGCAATGCCGCTCACGTCTCCTCCTCGGCCTGGAGTCCCACTCCCGTGGCTGTTGTGCGGGAGGAGGAAACACATCCTCTATAATCTTAGGTTCCTGGATGGAGGCCTGCAACTTAAAGCGAGAAACGACAGAGGAACGAGGGAAACGGGGGAAACTGTAAAGTCCGGGTCTCGATTTTAGGAAAGTGGAGGCGAGACAGATTTTTTAAAAAAATAACGTTGTATTCGGTTTGCGACCGTTTTCTTCAAGCAAAAAGAGGAAGATTGGCAACAGATGTCAGGTCGGGGCCAATCTTCCTCACCAAAAAAAAAAAAAGATTGGAGCGTATTAGTATTGTTTGTGCCTGACGACGTGCGCCAGCCCCGTGGGTCGTCGGGAGCACCTGACTGTGTGTTTCCTTCTGTTTTAGGAATCTCTGGTCATGGGTTCCCCTCCTTCCTCCCGTTCTGGGATTCGTTTTGAAGGTTTTCTCCTGGAGGGGGAAAAAAAAAAGCTGGTTCTTTTGACAAGGAGCAGTTCTAATTTTTTAAATGAAGTCAGTAGCATTTTTACCCTCAGTTTGGTCCCCGCGAATGTGGAGGGACCTTGAACACACGACGCTCAGAGACACACGCCGGACGCAAAAGGACACACAGCGTGGGATTCTGTTCGTAGAAAATGCGCAGAATGAGCAAATCCAGACAGAAAGGGGATTTATGGGGCCGGGTCCCCCATTTTGGGGAGACGCTTGATGCTGGGAGTGGAGGAAAGGGTCCCCCAATATCCTGAATGCGCTCAACGCCGCCACCTCGAACGCCCAGAAAAAGTCGAAACGGTAAATTTTACGTTACATGGATTCGGCCACAACCAAAAAAAAAAAAAAAAATTTTTTTTAAAAACCCTAAAAACAGAGACCCGTCGATGCCGCCGTGTTTGCGTCGATCAATCGATCAAAGTGTCCCATCAACCGAGTCATGTCCCACCCGAGCGGAGGACAAAGAAGATGTTGATCATCACCAGGCAGGGGAGCGGGATGCGAGGGCCGGTGCCGCGCAGCCACTGGGAGGTGCAGAGGCAGGAAGAATCTCACTGTCTATACAGCCGGGCAGGGCCGACTCCGCACACACGTTTTTCTCCAGAAGAAAAATTAAGGTTTTTTCCCGTCTTTGCGACAAGTGGGGGGGGCCTTAACTCTTGGGGCAAAATTCCCGGGACGCCAAACCTGCGGGAGGCCCCCTATTTTTTGGGGGGGACACTTGTAGGGGCTGGAATGTCACTAAAGACAGACGCTGCCGCCACCCCGAAAGCCCCGCCCGCACAAAGAGAAAGAAAACCGGATTATTCACAAAGGAACGTGAAATTTGTGGAAATTCACCCAATGACCCCCGAAAAGAGGACGAACGGGGCCGTTTCTTCGGAGCGGGGTCTACACGGAGGTCGGGCTGTGCGCGTGGCAGAGACTCAGAGTCCCGCAGAGGAGTCGGGGAGCCTCACACCCGCGTGAGGGAGGAAAAATCCTTCCTGTACACTGTTAGGTTCTTGCAAGGGGGAATGCTAATTAAACTGGTGGGAGACAGGAACTGGAGGAAAGCTGGCTGAATTTTAATAATCATCATCTTATTTTCTGTAATAATTTTATTAATAATAATCTCATGCCGCGTCCTCGGTGGGGACCCCCGCGTGGGGCCGTCACGGGGTCCCAGGGGTCCCATTCTTAACAGCACCCGTTCCAGGTCAATGGGAACGACACCTACTTCTGCGAGTTCCCCAACTCGGTGCTGCACCGGGGGGCCAACCTGACGCTCAACGTCAACTCCGAGGGGGCCGCGTTCCAGGAAGTCCTGGTTTTCCACAACTCAGGTGACGTCCCCAACCCCGTCCGCACCCCGACCTCCATCCAGCGTCGCCCGCCGTCCCCGGGGCTGGGGTTGGGTGTGGTGTGGGTGCAGCGGGTGTAGACTGGCGCTGTCTCCCCAGGCCCGGAAGGTTCCGGGGCCGTGAACTTCTCCTGCTTTATCTACGACCTCCGCTTCCTCAACTGCAGCTGGAGCCCCGGCCCGGCCGCCCCGCCCGACGTCCGGTACCACCTCTACTGGTGGGCGTCCAGGTGAGTCCCAAAAAAACCGGGTTTTTTTAATTTTTTTTTTTGGAGAGGGTTTTGGGGGTCGCGTTTCCCGACGGGATTGCCCCAACGGGGGTCCGCTCTCCGGGTTGACCCCGTATTGGGGATGTTCCAGTCACGACCCGGAGGTCGAGTGCGCCCGCTACATCGTGGACCCCGCGGGGACGCGCGTGGGCTGCCACCTGGACGACCTCGGGGACCCCAAGACGACCGACTACTTCTTCCTGGTCAACGGCACCAGCAACCGCACCGCCGTCCGCTTCCTGGACTTCACGCCGTTTCGGGCCAAGCTGATGGGTGAGAGGACCGGGCGCCTTCCGTGTCCCCCCAACACCCACCCCGAGACGCGGGATCCGCATGTGAGGTCTGGGGAAACACGCACGCGGCAGCCTTTTTGTGCTCGGGGAACGGAACAGACGAACAAACTTTGCCTCCAACCTCTTAAGTCCGGTGACGGAGGCGTGCAAATTAAACTTGCAACTGCTAGATAAACGGCAAATGCATGCACATTTTACTCTTAATTGGACTCCTCTGCGAGGCACACGGGTAACTCGTTGCCTCGTTTCCATTTTTTTTTTTTTTTCCTAGAGAAGTATCGGCCGCCTGCCAACGTCACCACCGCCTTCAATGGCTCCCACCACGTCGTCCGCTGGGACGACCCCGAGACCCGGTTTGACGTCGCGAGTCATATGCTGTGCTACCAACTGGACATCCGACGACAGGTCTGGACCCCGAACCTCGGCCCCGGGCCCGACCCGAGTCCCTCACACAGGGGAGGAAAACTCACAGGAAGGGAATTTCCTGTTGAGGGAGAAAAAAATCTTTTCTTCCACCCTGTTATGTTCTTTCCTGAGGGTCTGCAAATTAAATCAACAAACGACAGCTTAACAGGAGAGAAAAAGCAAAATTTACTCATTTTCATGTGGGATTTGACAACGGAAGTGACTCCCTAAACAGCTGACGTTAGAGGCTTATCCGCCTAAATGAACAGGGGACGGGGAAGGGCGGGGAAAAGGCTTCTATGGGAAGAGCAAATGGATTTTTTGGGGGAAAGACACAATTTCCGGGCAATTTGCTCTCAGCCTCCTTCCTGGGAGCCCAGTCTCCCCGAGGAGGGAATTCTCGGCGCTCCTCCTTCCCGCCATTTCTTTGATTTTAGGGAACCTTCCAGAAGCTTCTTTGTGCGTCTGTGGGGTCCCCGAAATCTTCAGCTTAAAAATAACCCCCGTAGCCATTCTGGGGTCCCCCTATTTGCCTATAACGCCACAAACGCCGCCCCTTAACTGTGTTCCCTTTGCTGTTTTTCTCACAGGGCAGCTCCTACAAGAGAGACCCCGTGAGTACTCCTGCCTGTGTCTCTGTGCTTGGGCCCCACGCTCACCCCTGACCCCACTCACCCCTGACCCCGCAGCGGCTCAGCTGACGGGTCCCGTCGAGCCCCTTACGGGCTTTTTCTGGGGTCCCGAAGCTGCGTTTCCTTGAAGGCGTCTGCCTCAGGTCGCGTAGTCGGTCATCATACCTCCCGCAGTCGGAGCAACATCCTTCTTCCCGGGGCCGCCCCTGGGCCCCTTAAGGAGTCGAATGGGGTCCCCCCGAAAACTCGTGTCCGCCCGGAACCCCAGAACGGGGCCGTCTTTGGGACGTAGGGTCTTTGCAGGTGTAGGATGTTGAGCTGAGGTCTTCCTGGAGGGGGGGGCGGTAAACTGTAAAGTCCTGGTCTCGATTTTAGGAAAGTGGAGGCGACCTAGATGTTTTATGAAATAACGGTGGATTCGGTTTCTGACCGTTTTCTTCCGGCAGAAAGGGGCAGATGGGCCACAGATGTTAACTCGAGGCCAATCTTCCTCAGCAAAAAAAAAAAAAAAAAAAAAAAAAATGGGAGCGTCTTAGTATTGTCTGCGCCTGACGACTTGGGGCGCCCCGTCGGCTCCCGTTGGGTCCCCCCAGGTTTTCCAACGGGGTAGTGACGGGAATCAGTACGTGCTGCCCGGCTCTGCGGTGACGGCGGGGGACACGGTGCGGGCGCGGGTGAAGCACGTGTACGGCGACATCTGGAGCGCGTGGAGCCGGGCCGTGGACTTCAGTGAGTCCCCTGAACCCCACTGTCCCACCCGCCCCTTTTGTCCCTGGATTCAGGGCCGCCTCCTCCAGGAAGGCCTCCTCTCCATCCTTGATTCAGGGCCGCCTCCTCCAGGAAGCCCTCCTCTCCATCCTTGATTCAGGGCCGCCTCCTCCAGGAAGCCCTCCTCTCCATCCTTGATTCAGGGCCGCCTCCTCCAGGAAGCCCTCCTCTCCATCCTTGATTCAGGGCCGCCTCCTCCAGGAAGCCCTCCTCTCCATCCTTGATTCAGGGCCGCCTCCTCCAGGAAGCCCTCCTCTCCATCCTTGATTCAGGGCCGCCTCCTCCAGGAAGCCCTCCTCTCCATCTTTCCCGTCATCACATCCGCAAAGACCCTCACCCAACCCCCCCGTCACCCATAAAAGCCACAGGCACGAGCGGTCCACACCCCAGGCTGAGGCGGTTGAGTCACAGTTTCCCCAAAGAGCGTCCTCGGAATCAAACGCTCTCTGGCATCCTCGACATTTCACAGTTCCGCATTCATTCCTTTGGCTGTGCAGGGCGGCGTTGAAAGTCGATATTCCTGGAGAAGGCAGGAAGGCGCGGGGTGGGAGCCGTGGGGCCCTCGTGGGGACGTGTCCGGGGGGGGTGTCTTCGGGGGTGCCGGGTTCGAAGCCGGGCTGGGGGTCCCCCGTGACCGTCGGCTCGTCTTCCCGGCGCAGACCGCCCGGAGCCGGATCCCGCGGGCGCGCTCGCGGGTCTGGTGGTGCCGGCGGTGACGGCGGCGGCAGCGCTCGTCGGGGTGCTGATGTTCGTGTGCAAAAGGTAACCCCTCAAACCCCAAATTGGGGTCCACCCGCCCCCCCCCCAGGGGTGCACCCTTGGAGACGGTCCCTGTGCGCACCCGGGCGCGCCGGCCATCCGGGTTCCAGGGGCAACGGGGCCGGGGCGGTGCAGTGCGCACGGCAGCCACACGGGGGCAGCAGTCGGCAACCTGAACGCCCGGCCGGGGCGGTTCCCAGAGGTCGGCGCCGGCGCAGGCGGTGCGCACGGGGAGGGGCGGGGGACTGCTCGGCGGCGGCGTCCGCATCCCGTCCTCACCCCGCCGCCCCCCCACCCCGGGGATGCAGGACCCCGTGTAGACCCGGCCGGGCGCGGTGTAGACCCGGCCGCCCCGCAGCGCCCCCGCTTCGCTCGGCAGGTTCTCGCTGCGGCGCCGGCTGTTCCCGCGCGTCCCGCGGGTGCGGATGCAGCGCGCTGGGTCCTTCCCGCCCGACCTGGAGGTGAGCGCGCGACCCTGTGACCTCTGACCCCGTGGGCGGTGGGGTCGCTCCCGGGGGGCGGGGGACGCAGGGTGTCCCCACGACGGAGCCCACCCCGCGCCTTCCTTCCTTCTCCGCGGATATCGACTTTCAACGCCGCCCTGCGCAGCCAAAGGAATGAATGCGGAACTGTGAAATGTCCGGGGTGCCCAGAGAGGGTTTGATTCTGAGGACGCTGATCGCGGACGAGGCTCCCTTTGGGGAAACTCTGACTCAACCGCCTCAGCCTGGGGTGTGGACCGCCCGTGCCAGTCCCCCCACCCCCAAACCCGCGGTCGCACAGTCTTCACCGCAGACGTGCGTCCAGGGCGCGCGCATGGGCACCGTCCTCGTGGGGAGTTCCCCGCTGGGCCTCGGGTTTTGGGGTCCCCCCCCATTTCCGGGGTCTCAGATCCTTCCCCGGTGACGTGTGCAAAGCCCCTGTTTGCAAAGACGGTTGCATCTGGGGTTCCGCTGCATGTGAGTTTTTGGGGGGCCACCGGTCAACCCGCGACGCCCCCAAATAGGGGCTCCCGATCTGGGCTGGAAGCCGTCCCCCGGGGGTCCCCCAGGCTCCCACGAGGCCCCGCCGCATCACGTGTTGTTCAAGGTCCGTCCACACTGCAGCTCCATCCCTTTTCCGGGCTGTCTAATATTCCACTGCCTTTATTGATCCGTTTCCCCGCATGGACGGGCCTTGGGGTCGCTCCCCCTGCCGGCCGATGGGAATCGTGCTGTCCTCTTGGTGGGACCCCCCCCCACCCCCTCGGGGGGCTCGACGGGGTGGTCTACACTGCGCTGTCTGCTCTTTGTCAGATGACCTGGATCGGGCTCGACCCACCTCCGGGCGCAGAGGAGCCCGAGGACGTCCTCACGGTGGAGGAAACGCTGCCCGTTGAGACGGAACGAGGAGCAGACACGGCGTCTACACCCGCGCCCGCCATGAACGGTGCTGGAAGCAAATATGTCCTTGGTGCAGTGTAGACACTGCCGGGTTCTGGAACATTCTGAGCCGGCTGCCCTTCGGGAGCAGGGGCTTGTGGGAAATTCCGGGAGTCCGCCCCCCACGCTGGAAAAACGGGGTGCGCGGGGCGAGGATGCAGACTGTGGCCTCCGTGCGGGTGCCTGACGGCCCCAGGAGGTTTTTTTTTTTTTTTCCCCTTGAGGAAGATTAGCCCTAACATCTGCCCCCAATCCTCCTCTTTTTTTTTTTTTTTTTTTTTGCTGAGGAAGACAATCCTCCTCCTTTTTTTTTTTTCCCCTTACTGAGGAAGACTGGCCCTGAGCTAACATCCACGCGAATGTGTGCACGTCCAGTCGCGCCTCAGGAGAGAGACGCACAGCGTCGTTTTTGCAAAACGGAAAAGCACACGGTGGGGGGCCGTTCCAGGCGGGTGAAAAGGCGTGTGCGTGCGCACGTGTGCAGACACGCGTGTAGACGTGGAATCCGACGCCGGGGTGTCGGGCGTGGTTCTCTTCAGACTGTAGCACTTTTCTTTCCTTTTTGGGGGGATGGCGCGTCGGATGCAAAAAATAAAAAAACACGTTTTTACGGTGAAAATAAAGTAGTAAATTGGGGGGAAAAATAAAAAATGTGCAAAGCAAGGTTTTTCATGGGAAATGCTGGCCAGCGGTTGTTAAGTGACTATTAGAAAACACTTTCCGTGTGTGGCGTTCGGGGCAGAAGCGACGGAAACAGGAGCCGAGCGGCGGGCCGGGCCCGTGACCCGAGGTCGCCTGTGTCGCAACCCCGTGCGGCACCAGCAGGAAGGGGCGGACGCGACATTGCGGTGACCCCGAGGCGGCCGTGGGGACCTCTGTGCCGACCAGATAGGGTATTTCTCAGAAACGGTGGGTCCGGGGGGGCCGCGGGGCGGAGGCCGGGGTCGCAGCTGGATGTCACGGGACCCGGCTGGTTGTCTCTGAGCCCCGGACACACCACCGGCCCCGGGACAGGGTAGGCGGGCCATCCCGGGACCTGCAACGGAGGGGGTGCTGGGACTGCTGCAGGAGGCAATAGGGGAGGGTATTAGCTCCGTCAGCTCAGATGCGGATTGAGTTTCTTTCAACCCCGCCCGGCGCCTCCTGAAAAAAACTCTCCCCCCAGGGCGCGCGTGGTGGCCTCAGTCTCCCCAACATCAGGATGCCATAGGGGCGGCTGGTTCGGGCCTCAGGACGCGCCCCAAAAACCCCACGGAGGGCGGCCAGTGGCTTAAATTTCCCGCCTCCGCTGGTTGGATCCCCTGGTTCCGCCTCCTGTGTCTTGTTTTCTCCCGGTTTCTTGTTTCTCGGCCTTCAGGGCCTTCCAAGGACCTGACAAGGCCTGCGTGCTAACTCAAGGTTTCCACCCGGTGCTCCGCCGAGCCTGTCTGTGTTCTCAGGCGCGGAGTTTTTTTTTCGTTTGGTTTTTTTTGTTTTTTTTTTTAAAGGCGTTTGTTTCTGACGCCCAGCGTTGCTTGTGTTTCCAGAAGGTTCCGGCTGCTTCTGCGCGTCCCTCACGTTCCGCTCAGTCATGGGGACGCGGCCTGATTGCATCACGACGCCCGGCCCTGCGGGACCCGCTGCGTCAGGGACACGCGTCCTGTGGCACGCCGGAAGGTTCCGGAGAAATGAGTGACCGTTCCTGCTTTTCCTCTCTTTCTGGAAACCCTGTGATTGGCACGTAGGTTGGGGCCAGACCTGTTCTATCATTTTCCTGCCATTCGCCTTGTCTTAGGTTTCTTTTTTTTTAATACTTTTGAGTTTTTCTCGACTTTCCCTGTCAATGCCTGGATGGGTTTTATCATTGGAACAACCGCAATTTTTTTTTTTTTTTTTTTGCTGAGGAAGATTGGCCCCGAGCGAATATCTGTGCCCATCTTCCCCTTGATTGTATGTGGGATGCCCCCCACAGCATGGATTGATGAGCGCTGTGTGGGTTCACGCCCGGGGACCCGAACCCGCGACCCCCCCAGGCCGCCAAACGCTAACCACTAAGCCACCCGGCCAGCCCCGCTTTGTGTTTTCGCATTAATAATTTTTGAGCAGTCGTGGACTCTGGGACCCGGCTCGTTCGGCCGACAGGGTTCCGAGCCCCCACCGTTTGACTCTCCGGTTCCGGCCTCGCCTCCCCCCGAACCCCCCGTCGCCGGGCCCTGAGCGGCCGCAGGAGTCGGGGTGTCGTAACCCGGGCGGTGGCGGTTTCGGGGGCCCCCCCCCCGTCTGGAGGTGGGTTCGGCCTCCTTATCTCGCAACCGCCCCCTGGTTCCTGCCGTCGCACCTGCTGTCACTCAGGCCGCGGGCCCTGCCTGCACCCTCTGAGCCTGACCCCCGGGGTCGGGGTCGGGGTGGGGGGGGTCCCCAGAGCTGGTTGCAAGCGCCCCCAGCGCTGCATCTCGGCTCCGCGTGCAATCCCAGCGCGGCCAGTGCGTCCTGGAGGCGGCGGCGTCACCCGGGGGGTCCAGGGCGACTCCGTCTGAACGCGATGGATCGATCGATCGATCGACGATCCAGTTTGCAAACGCTGCAGAGACGCCAGAGGCACGTCCGCTTTTTTGGGGGGGGGGGACCCGACGTCGCGAGCCGGACTCGACACCCCCCCCCAACCCCGCTCCGCAGCCCCGTCATCCGGGCACCCGGGGGGGCAGCGGAGGGGGCGGCGCCGGGAGGAGGGGGGTGTGCGCCCGGCGCGCCGCCCCCAGGGAGGCCTCCGGGATTTCCTCCGTCAGGAAGCGGCGGCCGCCGGGCTCGCCGCCAAGAGGAAGCGGCGCCGGGAAAGGACCCGAGTTCTGAGCCGCAGGAGGAGGAGGGGGAGGGAGGGGGTCCCAGGTGTCCGCCCCGCCGCCTGGGGTCGGGCGCCCGGGGGTGGGGCCCCACCGACACGGAGGTTATAAAAAACCCGGATCGGATCGGGGCACAAAGCCGCTTCGCTTTCCCCGCGCGGACGCTGGAGGGGCCGCCGAGGCCCAGGTGAGAGAGACCCCGCCGGGTGGTGGGAGGGTGGGGGTCACGGGGTCACGGGGGCACGAGGTCGGGGGGGGCTGCGGGGCACGGGGGAGCCCCCCCAACACACACACACCCGCCTCGGGTTCCAGCCGGCCTTGCGCGCCGACCCCAGAGACGCTGGGGCGAACGAGGATGCTGCCTTCTCGGGAAACGGAGGCACCGGGGTGGAGCCTCGCTGCAGGCTGGGGGCGTTGGGGTCACGGGGTGGAGCCTGAAAATGCGTTTTTACCGTTTTTTAATTTTTTTTTTTTTTTGAGGAAGATTGGCCCTGAGCTAACTACTGCCAAGCCTCCTCTTTTTTTTTTTTTTTTTTTTTTTTTTTTGCTGAGGAAGACTGGCCCTGAGCTCACATCCATGCCCATCTTCCTCTACTTTCTATGTGGGACTCTGACCACCACGTGGCTTGCTGAGCGGGGCCATGTCCACACCCGGGATCTCAACCAGCCCGGGGGCTGGGACCCCAGGTGGGTGGTTCTGGAAGCCCGAATGGGACTCAGACGGCCGCGAAGGGCTTATCAAGGCGGAGATCCCACCCGGCGGCAATATGCACGCGGGCCCAAAGGTGGACACCGCCGTCGGGGGCTGGATGCGTAGACGGAATGCGGTGCAGCCACGCGGTGGAATATTACGCAGCCGTGAACGGGAGCGAGGCCCTGACACAGCTGCGCGTGGACGGACCCTGAACGCACGACGCTCAGAGACGGAAGCACACGCAGAAGGATGCACAGCGCGGGATCCCGTTGAGGGGAAATGTCCAGAGCCGGCAAACCCCACGACAGAAAGCGGATTCGTGGACGGGGACGGGGACGGGGAGCGACTGCTGGTGGGGACGGGCGCTCCGTTTGGGGGGGTGAGAATGTTCTGGAATCGGATGGGGGTGAACACGGTGAATGCCGCTGGGCGAGCTGGGGAGCCCCGGGCCTGGGCGTGGGGGCAGCTGAGACCCCCCCCTTTCCGATGGAGCCTGTGTTGGGTGCGGTGACGGGGGGCTGCGAACGCCCTGAGGGAGGTAGGGAGAGTCTGTGACCCCTCCTCGACCCCAAGGCTCGGCTGTGGGGTCGTCTGCTTGTGTGGCAGCCCCGGGCGGGCCCCCAAGGCACTGACGACGTGTGCAAAATGAGACTCGGGGTGGGGAGGAGCGGGGGGTCCGTCAGGAGGTGTGTGGACCCCCCCGCCGAGTCGGGGTCCGAGGAGTGCACAGCGAGCTCCCTGGGGGCCATGGGAAAAACTTCCGGCCGGGCGTGTGGGGCGGCGTTGGGTTCCCGGAACGCGGCCGGGTCAGGAAACGGGCGGCGCTGCCGTCAGACGTTAATGGGACTTCCTGCCCGGCTCCAGGACCCGGCGCCGCCTGGGTCGGGGCGGGTTTTGCCGGGTGTGGACGAGCGCGGGGCCGAGGGCCGGCTCTTAACCCCCGGGCGGGGGCCTTCGAGACAGGGGGACGGACACACACGCGTGCACACACAGAGAGAGACGGGCACGTGTGCACACAGGCACACGCGTGTGCAAAAGAAGCATGAGCATGCACACATAGGCATACACACGGAGGCACATATATGCACACACACGCATGTGCATGCACACTTATATGCACACATGTGCACACACACGGACACGCATGCACACGCGTGTGCACACGCACGGGAGGGCCAGGAACGATGCGCCCACGCTCACTCCGCCTTCTCTTCCAGCGCACACGCCCGCCCGCCGGCCCCATGGCCTTCGTCTGGATCACGCTGTTCCTGACCCCCACCTCCGGCCTGCTGCGCCCGGACCAGGGTAGGCCCCCGGGACGGCCGTCTGTCCATCCGTCCGTCCGTCCTCCGTCTGAGGGTCTGTGGGGGGGGGGGCTCTTCTCCAGTTACCCTGTTTCTTCTGATTCCGAAGTGGAGCTGGTCTAGATGCCCCTGTCCTGATGGAGCTCTGGGCACGATGGTCGATTGCTTCCCTCTGCCCAGGATTTCTTTTTTTCTTGAGGAAGATTGGCCCTGAGCTAACTGCGGCCAATCCTCTTTTTTTTTTTTTTTGCTGAGGAAGATTGGCCCTGAGCTAACTACTGCCAATCCTCCTTTTCTTTCTTTCTTTTTTGCTGAGGAAGACTGGCCCTCAGCTAACATCCATGCCGATCTTCGTCTACTTTATATGTGGGACACTCACCACAGCATGGCTTGTCAAGCGGGGCCATGTCCACACCAGGGATCCAAACCATCTGTGCTGGGAAACGGGGCTCCAGCCATAAGCCGGGGCGTCCAGGTCACTCACCTGCCAAAACTGGGGCATCTTTGCATGACCGTTCCAAGCTCCTGGGCATCTTTGCCCGTCTTGGTCTCCCCGGGGGGGCCCTGTGTCTGCGTCTGTCTCTGAGGAGGACGCTGTCCTTGGATTCAGGGCCGCCTCCTCCAGGAAGCCCTCCTCTCCATCCTTGATTCAGGGCCGCCTCCTCCAGGAAGCCCTCCTCTCCATCCTTGATTCAGGGCCGCCTCCTCCAGGAAGCCCTCCTCTCCATCCTTCACTTCATCACAGCTGCAAAGACCCTGTTTGCCAATAAGGCCCCGTGCAAGGGTCCTGGGTTCAGGGCTGAATTTGGGGGGCCCGCGATTCGGCCCCTCACAGGGCTGAATTCGAGGGGACGGCCCCGGGGTCCTGGCATCGTGACCTCTGACCTCCCTGGAGGAGTGTGTGGACACCATGCAGGACTTTTTACGGGGCAGACGGGGTCCCGTTTCGTTGGGTAGATGCCAGTCCCGGGGTGACACCCCACGCCGACCTCGGGGCCGGTCTGGGGCCGAGACCGCGGCCTCCTCTGTGGTCACTTCAGGCCGCTGGGTTTTCTGGGATCATTGACCACAGGCAGGAAGCGAATTGTTCGAGTCCTAAGGAGAAGTGGTTAGTCCTCCACACTCGAGTATGAATTAGCTCCACGGTTTTCACAGCTGGCTTTTCGTTAGCGTGACGCGTTTTTTTTCCGTTCCCACAGAGTTTTGAACCCCGGATGCCAATTTTATTTCTTGCTGGATTTTCGCGGCTGATATTTGGGGAAGGAATTTCGTGTCTGTGTTCATGAGGCCTCGCGTTTTCTTCGAACGTCTCTGTCTGATTTTGGCGTCGGGAGAATGCGCCGGTCCCATAAAATGAGTCCGAAGACGTTTCCTTTTCTGCTCTGTCTCGTCTTTCATTCCTAAAATTCCTCATTTTATTTCCCCTCTTTTTTTGAGGTTTTTCCAATTATCTTGTTTTTTGCATAGAAACAGCTTTGGGTTTTCTTGGCTGTCCGTGTACTTTTTGAAATGATTAAAGATTTTAATGAATTCTCCGTGGACAACTGATAAAAATACGAATTCTGCTATTATTGACTAGCTGGTAGTTTTTTATCAACTTTTCTCTGGTTTTACTGTTTTCTCTACTTGTTTCCTCAATTCAAGAGGGAGTTTGTGCTTATGCCTCATGCGTTTTGAAACTTTGTTCCTGGGAGCACAGATGTGAGGATGAAAGGGCCATTTTATCCTGTGGAAATTTCTCTTTTTATACCAGAAACCGTCCTTGTCCTGCAGTCTACGTGGTCTTACATTAATGTAGCATTTTCGGGTTTCGCATGATTAGAGTTTCTGCAAAATACACTTTTCTAGTATTTTCATTGACATTTAATTTGAATGTATGATTAAATGTATACATTTAATAAATTTAATTTATTAAATTTATTTTAATAATTTTCTATTACTTAAAGTAAATAATTAAATAATTTAATTATTCAATTTAAATATTATAATTTCTATTACATTTAATTTAAATTATTACATTTGATATGAAATTTAATATTTTAATTTGGTATTATTTTAACTTATTTAATTAAATCGTCTAATATTATTTTAATTTATTTACATTCTAATTTGAAAATAAATTTATTTAAATTGAATTGAATTTAAAATTGAAATTTCAATTTTAATAATTTGATTTAAAATTAATTGTTTTAATTAAAAAATTCATTATTTTAATTTACACTATTTAATTTAAATGATAGAAAATAACTAATACATAATAATATCTATTATTTAAATTTACACTTTAATTTAATGTAAATTAAAGGCATTTAAAGTACCTTCCTTGTAGACAGCACACTGTGGGGGGGGTTTTTTTTTAATCGAGTCTGACAACCTTTTCTTTCCATTGGGCCGTTTAGACCCTTCACACGTCATGTAATTATCAATACAGTTGGGTTTAATTCTACCATTTTGCTACTTGTTTGCTATTTTCCTCAGTTTTTCTTTGTTCTTTTCCCCTCTTTTCCTGGCACCTGTTCCCTTAATTCTTTTTTAGTGTTCCGTTGTTTTTCCTCCATTGGCTTTTCGTCTCTACCTCGCTATCGATTTCGGGTTCCTCCGGATTTTAAATATCCGCCCTTCATCGATCACGTACCATCTTCCAATATCACTCTACTTCGGCCAGGACGGAGGAGCCTTGAAACAGAATACTTTTATTTCTCCCCTAGTCCTTCACGCTGTCACACCTTTCACGTCTACCCATTTTATAAAGCCCACCCTGCACTGGGCTTGTTTTTATTTTAAACAATCACATTTTTACATATTTACTATTTACATATTTATACACCATTCACACATTCACGTGCTGTTTGCATATTTACATGCTATTTGCATATCCGCGTGCTATTTGCATATTCACATACTACTCACATGTTTGCGTGCTATTCGCACATTCGATACGTCTGCATATCATTTGCATATTTATACAGTTTGCATATTCACGAGCTATTTGCATATTTACATGCTATTTGCATTTCCGCGCACTATTCGCAGGTTCACATGCTATTCGCGCATTCAAAACCGTTTGCACAACATTTGCATATTTGCATGCGGTTTGCATATTCACGTGCTATTTGCATGTTCCCGTATATTTGCATATTCGCATGCTATTTGCGTGTCTGCATACATTTGGGGACACTCGCTGTGGATCCCTGTTCCCCCTTTCCTCCCGTGTTTCTTGGTGTAGACCTGAGTTTCCATCTGGGGTTCTTTTCCTTCAGGAGGAAGAGCGTCCTTCAACCTTTCTCCAGAACCCCGGTCTTTCGGGGAAAGAATCCTTTCAGTTTTTGCCAGTCTGAAAAACGGCTTCCTTTCACCTTCCTTTTCTTGCAAAACACAGGATTCTGTGTCAACAGGGGCTTTCTGCGGCGGTGGTTTTTCCTTCCACATTTCGGGATGGCGTTCTCTTATCTTGTGTCTTCCATCGATGGTAGCGAGAAATCAGCGGAAATTCTTATCTTTGTTTTTTTTTTGTTAATAGGTATTGTGTTTTTTCCCCCCCCTCTGGTTGTTTTGCAGAATTTCTTGATGCCACTTTTTTTTTTTTTTAAGCAGTTGGGTTGCGGGGTCTCCTGGTCGGTTGGCTTCATATTTTTTTCTTTGGGGCTTCAGCGTGCACCCCTCCGATTGCATTTCCTTCAAGTCCTCCGACCTTTTCTTCGCCACCCGCTTGGAAGCCCGTGCGCTGCATTTTTTTTGCATTTCAGACGTTCTCTGTCCTACAAGTCCCGTTTGGCTCTTTTTTTTAAAAAAAAAAAACCGCATCTTCCATCCCTCCCTGTGCGGTGTGGACCGTCCCCTTTAAGTCCTGGAACATATTTCTAGCGGCTCTTTTAAGGTCCTTGTCAGTTCCTTGCACGCCTGTCGTTTATGGGGCTGTTTGCACGCACGGGCATCTCGCCCTGGTCGCCGGGAAGCGCGTCCCCGCATCTCTGCCCGGCTGGGAATTTTTTATGGGGTCCCAGGTATTGGAGACGACGGGCTGGTGGGGGTCTGGCCTTTCGTGTTCCTTTAAAAAGACGCGGCGTTGAGTGTTTTCCGGCTGTTCCTTGGTGGGTGGGTCGTCCCTCAGCAGGTGCCGGACGGGAAACGCTCCTGGGAGGGACGCTTGGCAGCGCGGCTGGTGGGGAGACGGGAATCCGAGGCCCGACCCTTGACCTCCGACCTCGAGGGGATTTCCTACCGTTTGGGGTTTTGGGAAAGTGCCCCAAAGTGGAGGACGCCGCCTCCGGGAAGGAGGCGGGCATTGCTCACGCACGGCAGGGAACAATGTCCTGCGTGTTTGCATTGGTTTTGTTGTATTTGTCGTCCAGATTTTCCTGGTCTTTTTCTTTTTTTGGCATGAGAGTTTTTTCTTTGTGAGCAGAACCATAATCGGGTGGAGAATAAGCAAGTGTAAGAGCGCGCGTGGACGTTATTGATTAATTCATGACAGAAGATGCCATGGTTATGTCCTTTTATGGCATATATATGTGTACATACACACATACATATACATTCCTTATTTGTATAAATACAACATTTAGAAAAATAAAATATAATTATATTATAATTATATAAATGACTATAATTCTTCACTATTAGTATAAATATAGTATTTAGAAAACTAAACTGAAATATAATTATTCGTATATTATATAAACTAATGTATAATTATTCACTATTAGCATATAGTACTTAGAAAAGTAAACTAAAATATAATTATAGTATAATTATATAAACGAATATATAATTATTCACTATTTGTATAAATAAAGTAGAAAAACTAAAATATAAGTATTTTATAATTATGTTAATATGTAATTATTCATTATTTGTCTAAATACAGTGTTTGGAAAAATAAACTAAAAGATAATTATTTTATAATTATGTAAACTAATATATAATTATCCACTATTTGTATACATACAGTATTTAGAAAACTAAACTAAAATATAATTTATTATAATTATATAAACTATAATTATATAATTATAATTATTCACTATTTATTCAAAATTTGCATAAACATAGTATTTAGGAAAAAACTAAAATATAATTATAATTATATAAACTAATATATAATTATTCACTATTTTTCTAAATATAGTATTTAGAAAAATAAACTAAAATATAATTGCATTATAATTATATAAACTATTATGTAATTATAATTATTCACTAATTATTCACTATATAATTATTCACTATTTTTCTAAATATAGTATTTAGAAAAATAAACTAAAATATAATTATATTATAATTATATAAACTAATATATAATTATTCACTATTTGGATAAATAAAGTAGAAAACCTAAAATATAAGTATTTTGTAATTATGTTAACTAATATGTAATTATTCAGTATTTGTAAAAATAGAGTATTTAGAAAAATAAACTCAAATATAATAAAAATATGCTAAGACTCGTATTTACTACTCCACCACTCACGCACTGTTATTTGGGCAGAAGTGAATGTAAATTTTGAGGCATAACAATCCATTCAAAATTACGGGTTCAGCTCATAAGAAATTTCCGTGGATGAGCTTTTTAGAGGAAGAGGTGAGGTTCAGAGAAAGTTTTGGCAGAAACCCAGATGGTCGTCCGGGTGGGTGTCGCTTGTGCAACGCGGGTTATCGATCTTGATGCCCCAACAGGGAACTTGCATTTCACGAACTTGGACAAAAAAGTTTATCAACAGTCATTTCCTCGAAGTCCCCAAAACGTAGGGTCACAGATAAAATCTGACAAAGCATCTCATGTCCCTTTGTAGCTTTTTTTTTTCTGTTTTGAGGAAGACTGGCCCTGAGCCAACATCTGCTGCCAATCCTCCTCTTTTTTTTTTTTTTTTTTTGCTGAGGAAGATTAGCCCTGAGCTACCATCTGTTGCCAATCCTCCTTTTTTTTTTTTTTTTTTTTTGCTGAGGAAGAGTGGCCCTGAGCTAACATCTGCCACCAATCTTCCCGGCCCCGTTTTTTTTTTTTTTTTTTGCTGGCCGCCCCTGGTCCACGTAGATTCCACTTCCCAACGAGATCAGCCAACTCGGGGGGGAGAAACACGTTCCCATCTCGAGGCTGGTTCAAGCGTCTTGCGTGTCTCTCCCCGACCGTAACCCGTGAACGTTTCAGATCCGAGCCCGCCGATTCGGAATGTGAGGATGGAGCCGGAAAGTCAGAGACTGACCTGGGACCTCCACGGAAATGTGAGCGGGATCGAGTGCTCGCAAAGCCTGGAGTACAACGTCACGGTAAAGCACCTTCGCCGTACGAGGAGCGTGGTAGACGTTGCCAGTAGCCTCATGTTTAATCCATCATCATACATACGTGTCCCTTGAACCCTTTCCCAACCCCGTTTCCCTCCGGTCAACACTCATCTGTTCTCTTGGTCCGTCTGTTTCTTTATCTTCCACATAGGAGTGAAATCCTGCAGTATTTGTCTTTCTCGGTCTGACTTATTTCACTCAACATCATACCCTCAGGGTCCATCCTCATTGTTGAGAATGGGACGATTTTTTTCCTTTTTCATGGCTGAGTAGTATTCCATTGTGTATAAATACCACATATTCTTTATCCAATCACCAGTCTATGGGCACATGTGTTGCTTCCGCGTCTTGGCCCTTGTGAGTAATGCTGCCGCGATGAACATAGGGGTGCACGAGTGTCTTTGAATTGCTGATTTCCTAAAACCGTCATTTTTTTTAAAAAAAAACCTAAATAGTATCGATATGAGACGAGGTCTGTTCTCTAAGCAACCAGCAAATGACTCCATCTATCTCAGGCCAGAAAAAACCAGTACTGCCAGTTTCCAGTGCTTCCCTCGTGCGGATCGAAAAACTACACGGTGTTCGTGACCGGAGGGCAGCCATTCTCAACGTCGATTGGCTACCCTGAGCCGGGTGAGGGGACAACGCTCTTGATGGTTTTTCTTGGGCGTCCATCATCTGAGTCTCAAAATAACCACTTTTAACTCGGGTGGATCTCCAGGGACGTATGCTGAGCGACAAAGTGACCAGCCCAGGGGGTCGCATGCGGTGTGATTTTCTTCCCACGACCTTCTTGAAAGGACGAAGCTGTGCAATTAATTGGGGGACAACTGGGTGGCCAGCAGGGGTGGGTGGACTGAGGGGAGTGGGTGAGGTTATAAAAGGACGGGGATCCACCTTGGGCATGCACGTGGCAGGGTACGTGGGATGTCTCTGTGCTTTCTTTTTTTTTATTTTTCTTGAGGAAGATTAGCCCTGAGCTAACTACTGCCAATCCTCCTTTTTTTTTTTTTTTTTTTTTTTTTTTGCTGAGGAAGACTGGCCCTGAGCTAACTGCTGGCAATCCTCCTCTTTTTTTTTTCCTTTTTTTTTTTTTTGCTGAGGAAGACTGGCCCTGAGCTAATATCCATGCCCATCTTCCTCCATTTTATATGTGGGACGCCTACCACAGTGTGGCTTGAGAAGCGGTGCCATGTCCGCACCCGGGATCCGAACCCGTGAACCCCGGGCCGCCGAAGCAGAATGTGCGAACTTAACCACTGCACCACCGGGCCGGCCCCTGTGTTACGTCTTCTGACGGTGACATGGGAATTGCCAAGGGTCTTGATCCCCGCGTCCCCCTAAAACCAGCCCCGTTTTCGTTTTCTCTTCTTGGGGAGCCCAGAAGGGAACCCTGGGGCGGCCGCCCAGAACCTCACGTGCTGGGTCCACGATGTGGATTTCCTGACGTGCCGCTGGGCCGTGGGCAGCGCGGCGCCCAGAGACGTCCAGTACCACCTGCACGTGGGGGAGGCGAGGTAGGACCGTCCGGGGCTCGGGGGTGGGGGTGTGGGGGGGACCGCGGGGTCACCCCCGGACGTGCCTCCTCCTCACAGGACCTCCGAGGGGCGGGAGTGTCCGGGTTACACGGCGGACGAGCGGGGGACACACGTGCGGTGCCGTTTCGACGACCTCTCTGGGTTCTCCAACGGGCTGTACCGGTTCCGAGTGAGGGGCACCAGCCGAGCTTCCGGAATCCCCTGCTCGGAGATGTTCGAACAATTATCGCGAATCGGTGAGTGAGGGTCCGGGGCACGTCCGTCACCGCCCCGACCTCGGTGGGTCCAATGCCCCTTGTCCTCAGCGATGAAATCCCTGATGGGACTTTGGAACCAAAAACCTTTCTAAAAAAAAAAAAAACTACGTTGGGATTATTTTCTTTAGCTAGACCCTGTCCGCAAATGGTGACGGCTTCGAGCCCCGTGAAACCTGGGCCCGACCCGGCTGGTCCGCGTCCACGAGGCCGGCTGGCTGATGCGTTGAGAGGATGGTGCGAGAAGAAATGAGGGGGTGGGTCCTGCAAAGAGCGGAGGGGACGCTGTTTTTGGTCCGTGGTGTTCAGTGTTGAGCTGACCGGCTGGGTTTCACGTGCATCGGGTGGAGGCCGTGCTGCCTCAGACTCGGGGTGCTCCCTGGAAGGGCACAGAGACAGCTTTGGGGCCCAGCTGCAACACAGCATCTTAGCACCCAGGCCCCCGGGGTCCAACAACCACCCACAGAGAGAGAGAGAGGAGGAGGAGGCCGTGGAGATGGAGGCAGAGATCTGAGTGCTGATCCACAGACAGGGAGCACCCAGGCCGGCCGGCAGCCACCACCAGAAACTGGGGGACGGGGAGGAACGGCCCAGATTGTGTGTCGGGTCCCAGAAGGAAGTGACCCTGCCCACACTTGGGTCCCGGAGTCCCAGCCTCCAGATTAGGGAGCCCTCGCACGTCTGGGGTTCAAGCCACCTGTTTGTGGTCCTTGGTTTCGTTGCAGATTCAGGGGGAAGTGGACGGGGAGCGGGAGGCGGAGGGGGAGGTGTGGGCAGAGGGGGGTGTGGACCGGAGGGGGAGCGGGAGGCGGAGGGGGAGG